TGGGCGGGGGGGTTGGGTGGGTTGGGCGGGGGGGGCGCGGTGGGGGGGCCACGGTATCTGCTGAAGAGCTCCGAACGCTCCGGGTGTTGGCTCCGTCGGAGGCGGTGGCGACGGGAGCGCGGACGAGGGCATCGGGGGCCGGAAGGGTGAGGCGGTGGCGGATCGGGGCACATGTGTGTGTGTGTGTCTGTGTGTGTGTGTCTGTGTGAGTGTGTGTGTGAGTGTCTGTGTGTGTGAGTGTGAGTGTGTGGTGTCGAGGGTCGAACGAGACGCCCGGGTTCCTAACCGACTCGCCGAGGCGGTGTGCGCGGGCGCGGAGGCCGACGCTGACGGTCCCTGAGGTGCCGAGGCGTTGGCCCGAGCCAATCGGGATCATTTCTCCGGCTGTTAATAATCCTTTCAGCAAAATAATCGACGCGGTCGCTCGACCCACGCGGCTGCCCGTGGGACAACGACGCGCTCGATCGGCCGTCGCGTTCCGCCCAGAAGTGCGCAGTCGACTCACTCCACTGTGAAGCGCTTCGAGGCGTCGAGAAGACGTGAAAAGCGCGGTGTCAAATGCGAGGATTGTTATTCATTCGCGAATTGTGACGGAGGAACCAAAGACACGTGTTTTAGTCTCAACGACTGATTTAATGAGCCAAAAAGCGCAAAGCTTTGCATTCACTCAATAGGAAGGGGTGACACGACGGAGAGTTACAGGAAAGAGGGCGACACTTGACACGGTCACATCAGACATTATCATGTGTTACGCTCACGAATTGCACATCACAGTGGTGCCAGTGTCAGCGATAGTGCACTAAGCAGGCGATCGGCCTCCATCACTGAGACCGGATCGAAGCCGTTTTCTTTTCTTTGCGGAATCCCGAAGGGCCTATTTTGGGGCTTTGGAGCTGTTCGCGATGAGCTGCATTCGACGCTCAGTGGTTCTCTCCCATCGGTCGTTTCTCTCGGCTCTGATGAAGCGACGCTCCGGCGGTGAGAGGGAGTCCGGAGCGAGCTGGACTGAACCTCCCAACCCAGCGGGGAACGGGCCTCGGGGTGAGATGGCTTGGCCGGNTTTTTTTCCAGAGCAGAAGCGTTGACCGAGATGCAGGAGAATCGGTCATTGCTTCGCCGCTCCGGGTGGAGTGGGCGTCCCCTCTCCACCGCTCAACCAGCTTCGGAACCAGTTGTGCCCTTTCTTCTCCTGGTCCTGTTTGATCTGCTGGAGCCGGTCGTACTTCTCGCTTTCTTCTGGCTTCAGCGTCTCCCTTTTAGCCACTTTGGCCACCAACTCCGCGATTTTCTTGATGTCGCCCAGCGATTCAATGCGCTCCAGGAACCCGGGCTTCGCTTCCTGCTTCTCCGTCACAATCATCAGCTCGATGTAGTCCGGGGTCGACAGTGGATTCGGGTTGAGCGCTATCTCGTCGAGCCGCGCCAGGCAGCGAGATATGGTGTCCACCAGCTCCTGAACCTTGCACTGGATCTGAACAAACTCCTCCTCCAGTTTCTGCTTCAGCTTCTCTTGAGTCAACTGCTCACCGCAGGCCGTCTCGTACTTGGCTTTCACGTCGCGGTACGTTTTCTTTTCCGTGACGGTGATGTTGTCAAAGGTGTAATTTTGCCGTTGGTGATGCCTCGATGCGCATTTGCCGGGACAGACCGTGCAGTTTCCCCACCCGTCCATAGCTGCGCAGAAGTATTTCCACCAGTCGCTGCATCCGCAGGGATTTTCGCACGTCATGAAGCACTTTTGACAATTTCTCGCTTGTGTTCCGGTGCTCGTGATATCCTTTATTTCTATTTTTGGCTCAGTAGTTTCGTACTCGAAGTTTCTATTTTTCTCCACGTCGTCTTTGTGACGATCCAACTCCCGCTGCGTCTTCCTGATCTCCTCCAGTTTCATCAGAGCCACTCTCATCTGCGGCTGCAATCCCCGCACAGTCACGTCCAGTTGCTTCCGCTCCCAAAGGACCTCCTTGGTCAAGCGCAGGCTCTTCGGTGTCATGTTGCTCAGAGCGGCAAAGAACTTGTTCGCGTTGGTTGATCCCATTTTCCAGTTCATTGGGTCAAAGCTGTCCTCATCGTCACAATCTTCAGAGGTTCCAGTTTGGGAGAATAGGTCGTAGTTGTTGAATTTGAAGTGAATTGGTCGACCTTTGGCTTTGGGACACGGGATCTTAGCTTTGTTGATGGCCTCCAGGACTGAAGGAAGCCCTCTGTCTGCAAAGGTGACCAATATACGTATATTCTCTGCAATATCTTTGCCAAAAATGGAAAGAATTGAATTAAAGATGTGTTTCTGTGTCTCTGTCAGCCGGGCCAAAGCGGCTTGGGCCACGAAGCAGATACCATCGATTTGATCCACTCCGTGTGGGGAGGCAAAGAACTCTCTGATCTGTTCAGTGATCCGTGTGTCTTGTCTTAATCTCCGATGAGCTCAGCCACCGAGAGGGGTTCAGGGTTCCTTACTCTCTGGTCATTATAGACACCCCGGGATTTGGAGACACCGGAG